CACAAAGCCCAGATCCTGGAAAGCTATTTTTTGCTGGCTAGCACTCCAAATTAAGCTACAGCTCGCACCTCAAAGTCAGTCAATACCACTGCACCTCTAAGAATTCTTACAGGAATTATTCCATTAGATAAGCAGAACGATTTCCAACTAAGAATGCACATCGTGATGTCAGTCCCCTGAGAAGCCCACTTTCAAGGATAACTGTGCAAAGAAAGCACTGATGCCTAATTCTAAAATCCCAAATTACTAAATTCTCAAAGAAACATGGAAAATAATGAATTTTTTTCACTTACCACAGCTACACAATGTCAGGAGTCACCCCAAAATGATCTACTCCCTTCTTCCTCCCTCGCTTGCTTGCAATGTTTAAGCCATAACTCTTCACTGATGCATTTCAGAAAACAAAGGCTTCACAACCCTTAAATAAACCATAAGGACCTAAACAGTAACTGTTCTGGAGGACAGAGGCCTGTTGGTAAGGCACTAGACCTGAAGCTTTCAGTGGCTTAAAACAGCCATAACCAGGCAAACAAAATAAGGGCTAAAACTGAAATTGTGAAAGATACCTTGCCATTGTCCTCTCAACCTTCAGCCAGCTTGAGAATGCCACGGAAGCACTGAAGCAGCCAAGAGATGATACTGCTTAGATAGCAAAACCTCCGTCTCTCCCTGACCTACAAATCAGAAGCTGACAGATTAGTGGTGCCCCGGTGTATATCCCACAGTATCTCACAGCTACCGAACCAAAATGCATGTGCTCTGAGATGCAGAAAGAAACAGAACTATAAATAACACCAGCTGAAGCATGCACTGAAGATTCTGACAACCCAGTCAAGGACCTTATGGAACAAAATTCCCCAATTGTCTAAGAAAGCTGTGCCATGTGAAGAGATGCACCACACTGCATGGAGCTCAGTGTCAACTGGAGAGCAGCACAACCCTGCCCACGTGTTCCTCATGCACCTCAGGACCAGCAGTGTCACCCCTGCACAATGCTGGGTGACAATGACTGTCCTGGGCCACTCAGCCTGCAATCTGTGGTCTCAATACCACAGTTCTGCTCTTCATAAATCTACTCTACAACCAAAAATCACTCAGCTCATGGTAATTAGTACCAGCTGATTACAGGAGATTACGACTTGCAGAATCAGACAAAGATACCCTTCACAAAGAGGTTTGGGGAGACAGAACTGCATATACTCAGGCTCATAGGTTTTCCTCAATGTACTATTGCTAACAAACACTGGACACCTTGTGCAAAACCCTGTGCAATGGAGAAAACGCAGACATAGGTACTACACAAGTACCCACTGAGCAGTTTTTTTCTAGGCTAACTCCTCAGAGGGCCTGATTTTGAAAAACATGGTGAGGCAGATCCCTTGACTTCACTGTGCCCAGCTTCTTGGAACCGACTTTGGCTGGCCCTTACTTGGTTGGAACCAGTACCATCTCCACCAGTTTTATCTAGATTGGACAAAAAACATACAACTACAAAGCCAAAGATAAGGACATAAACACAACATCAACTTTTACAGAATTGGATAAAATAACCACTTTAAAAAACCACCAAAACCACATCAAGAAAGCCAGTCACTTCAGGGGTATAATAGTGTCTTACTTAGCTAAGATTCACTGTTTTCAGAAAGCAGCATTTGTTCCAACAGTGGTAACAGAATGACAACTACTGCAAGAAGATAAACGTTCTTTGTAGGAAGGAGGAGTGATATGAGCTTCATTAACTGAAGTATTCTATAAAAGAGATTAAAACACTTAAAAATGCGACCATATTTACCGCTATTGGGTATACTGCCCTTTTTTTTATCCCAATGATTACCTGATATTCCAAGAAAGGCATTTATTTTGGAGGGTCAAAATGTGGGACTACCCTGAAACACAGTGGCAATCAATGAGTCTCATCAGGACTCTAAAATATTATTTTGTTTGATCCATGTGTATGAATTAATGAGTCATAGATGCTGTCCAATTACTTTTAAATGATTAGCCATTTACAGACCACACACCAAACACTACTTCTTGAAAATGGGACTGCCAGACTGCTGACTGTCAGGCTTCCAAAAGCTTGGACACGACTGAATTGAGCTGTCTGTTCTCAGAATGGTGCAGAAAAACAGCCACAAAAACAACGGGTTTCTGGGGAACTATTCATTTGTCTTACATACTATGCAAATCAAATGTGACCCAAGCTAGTGAAGATGCAGAGCTCTAGAACCTCAGCAGACAGCACCACAGGCAGCCTTACAGATTGTTTTGGATTGCCTGCGGAATGGAGAAACAAGGAACAAAACACTTGCACAGCAGTTTTGTTGTTTGGGTTTGTTTTGCACGAGCTGTCAGAATAAAATAAACCCCACTTCATTATCTAAGCTGGCTGCTATTTTTCCAGATGCTCAGGTGGGTAACCACCTTGCTCCAGCACACAGGTGGACCACATCCTACCTGGAATTTAAGAGACTGCTTCGAGACCTCCCTGTTCTAATTTTAATGCTTAAACACTGATGATATTGCTACTGCCCTTTCCTGAAGAACATTTGCTTGTCAACTTACATGTACACTCTGAATGTCTTGCATTATGGAAAGCAGACTTGTTCTTTAAAAATGAGGATCTTGATCTCAACAGAAATCTCCCTGCTAATGTCCAGGTGACACACATTAAGTCTGAGTAAGGCAGCCTCATGCAACACATCTGAAGTTCCTTCCTTATTCCCACTGGTGTAACCCTAGAGTTGGCCCTTTCCCCCTAAGCAGGTAAGAAAGTAAAGAATCTGACCTAAACTTTCTGTTTTGAAGATTACTGTGATTACAGGATACCCTCACAAGACACTGCCATACTCAGGTTAAACTGGAAAGACATAAACTAAATGTCATCTCACACTTAGCTGCCACAGTGTTTGTTTACAGTGTTTGTGTCAATGATTTATACTCACCCAATAAAATATTAAGAGCAACAAACCATAAAGCTGGTAGCACAAGAATTCTAACAGGCTTTCCTTGCAGTCTGTCAATCCTGACACTACCCAAGATCCACCAAAAGCACTGCAGAAGTAACGTGTTGCATTACACCAAATCCAATACAGAAGCTCAGTTTTATATAACTGTAATATGCATACATATGGTCTTCAGGACAAGATATCTTCTCTAAACTGCAGTTCATACAGAATTCCAAGCATAAGCAATAGACAGCAATGTTGCCATTTCTAGTTCAGTATCTTAATATAATGGGAATCTCCCTCTATTTGTAGCTCTTACTGGTTCTTCTCGTATTAAAGACTTGCTGAAACTGAAATCCATTGCAGGTTTTGAATTAATAAGTGCAGGTCAAAGAAGGCACTATTTTCCACCTATTTTAACCAAACAGTAGGTCAAAGCTATGACCATGTTAGTTGGAATCCAACTATTTATCGTGACAACAACTATAAATAAATGACATAATATATACAAATATAAATGACATAACATATACAAATATAAATTACATATCATATACAAATATAAATAAATGACATAAAAACAAAAAAAAAGTCAACTTTGTAAAGATCACCAATGTCAAATAAAATACATTCTGTGCATCTCTGAACAATACAGGAGGATAAACCATGCAGTGAAACTATGCAGTCGAACTATTGTTCTTCCAAACCTTGCCTTCCTAGTACATTCCTTTAGCCAAGAAATGGGAAGATAAAGCCATTTGCCTAATGAAGCATATAATTTAAATATTTCAGACAGGCATTTACAGAGATGTTGCTTAAAATAGATTTCCCAGCCACGCATCCAAATCTTTTGCATGATGAAGATCTCAACATAGTTCACAACTTATTTTTTCTATAAACTCTAAACTCTCCAGCCCTTGCAGCTACTTTAGTCACCATGAGTACTCTGCATTACTTTATTACAATCTTTTTTTCCATAGCAGATCTAATATGAAGCTGCAATTTTCCTCTTTTGCAGTGCCTTGCAACATTTCTAAACCCACTAAAATTTCAGATTTTATTACTGCACCGTGCAGTCCTGCACAATTCTGTAAACAAAATAGGGTGAAATTTATGGAACCTTAAAGGGATAGTGTACTTAATACAGACTGCAGCATTCCATCCACAGGAAGATGCAATCAGCTAATGTCAATATTCTGTCATTTAGAGTCACAGTTTCTTACCCTAAAATATTCCCATTAATACAAAACAGCAGGGTTGGGTTTTTCCCCCCAAACTTGTATCTAGGATTTAAGCTATTAATACGATAACAGGTCTTCACTTGATAAAAGAAACCTGCTTATTTTTTTTCCCAATGAGCTATATCACATTTGTGACCTACCTAAGGCACAAGAGTACATCCTAACAAGCAAAGTGCATATTACAAGAATTCCCCCTTCCACACACACAAACAAGAGCCTACATGAAAAAAAAAAAGAGAGAAAAGGGAAAAGGCAGTCTTTACTATTCACATGCTAGGAGCGAGTATTTCCAAGAGTTGATCAACTTCCACAAACGTCAGATTTTAATTGTGTACCTCAATACTGCAGGGAAAGCGAAAAGTAAAAAATAACCCCAACTTTGGCTTTTAAGTCTGTAACGCATTTCACCCTTTAGAAAAAAATAGGTTAGTTTTGCCTGGTCTTTGCTACAAAGAGAGTCATCTCCTATGTACGCCACAAATAACCTGAGCAATGACTTCCCTCCAGGACAAGAGCTGCCCATCATATCGCAGGATTATTACAATGCTGGTTTGTTTAGGGGTTGCCTCTGCGTGTGTGGCTTGCCTATGTAATTCAGGCGATCGCGCACACCAGCCCCTCGTTGCGTACCTCACAATAAACTGATGGACGCTGCTAAACCTGAACCACCAACCTTTACAGCAAACAAAGAAGTCTAAGCCCGCAACCGTGATGCAAAATCACCCCAAAACCCACTACACCCTGCAAGAGCCTCTCACCGAGAACAGCCCGGCAGGCTCATTCATCCTTCCCAACCCAGCCATCCGCTCACCATCTCCTCCGTCTTCTCTTATCTCTCTGCCCCTCCGCTTATTTTCCTCGCTGCTGCTGCTGCTTCTGCTGCTGGATTCAAGGAGGCGGTGTACCAAAAAAAAAAAAAAAAATTTAAAAAAATTGAAATAAAAAAACCAAAAAGCAGAGGAAAGGCGAGCTCTCCAGTTCCGCAGCGGCAGCCGCTGGCCAGCACCAGCCCCGGGCTCCGCTGCCAGCGCGGGGGCCGCTCCCGCCCGTCCCCGGGAGAGCAGAGCGCCCGGGCTGCACCAGCTCCTCCCGCCCGCTCACCACCGACACGGCCGAGTAGTCGCAGCCGGGCTGAATTTCCCCTCCCACCTCCACATTCCTATTTACAAAGGGTATCCAAGACCAACTTTATCCAACGGGGGCTGGGGGGGGGGGGGGGGGGGGGGGGGGGGGGGGCGGTGAGGGAGGGGGAGGTAGAAGCGATCATTAACCCTTTTCTGTCGTTTACCTTTCGCTACTGGGATTTTTTTGCTCCGGTTTTGGAGCACACGGGGGGATTCCCCTTTCTCTACAGAGCACGTGGGCTCGCTGCCATCGGGCCCCGCCGGGTCCGCGCTCCCGCAGCGCGGCTTGGCCGCTCGCCACCTCTAGAGCAGCACAGCCCTCCCCTTAAAAAACGTCCAAGGGCACGGCCGAGAAACGCGCGCCCTCCCCACACTAGCGCTCGGGAAGCAAGAAGGGATGAACGCCCAGCGCGGCCGGGCCGTGAGGGGAGGGCGCGCCCAGCCCACTCCGGTGTTTCTGAGGGGGCGTTCGCAGCGCCCGGCGCTCACACCTGGGGAGCCCCGCCCGCCCCGCGCGCCAGCCGGCCCCGCCAATTCCCCATTGGCCGCTCGGCCGCGCCCGCGCCCGGCAACCGCAGCCCTATTGGTGCGGTCCCGCCCCTGCCGCCGCGCCATTGGCCGGCAGGGCTGTCCGTCACTGAGCCGGGCGGGGCTGTCCATCAGTGAGCCGGCGGGCCCGCCCCTTGGCGGGAGTAGGGCCGGGATGGGCCCGGGGCTCGGCCCTGCCCTCGCGGCACCGGGGGCTGAGGCTCGGCCGTTCCCTCACGGCACCGCAAGGCAAGGCGCGGGGCTCGGCCCTGTCCTCACGGCACGGCGCGGCCGGGGCTCGGCCCTGCCCTGCCCTCGGGGCGCTGTGGCTGCGCGCCCGGCAGCGCTGGGCCCGCTCCGCGCATTGAAGGGTTTGTGCCCTCGGGAACTCCCCGGTGTCTTGCCCCGCTGCCGCGGGGGGATTCGGGCCCAGCTGGCGTCCGAAGGGCTGTGGCAGAGGGCCCGCCAGGTGCAGCGCAGCCAGGGGATGCTGGCAACGCCATCCGCGGGGGTTTGTCCAACCTGCCCTTCTCGCCCTTTGCAGGGGTCTGTCGCCTTCTCTCTGGTAACCTAAATGTCTGGAGCTTTCCGTGGCCCTATTTTGTATCTTGTTATCTATCTCCTTCATTAATGTTCCTCCTTCTAATCGTTTCCTGTGGGTTCCCCCCTCCCTAACCGTGGGTGCCAGAAATGCTTCAGCATTACAGTGTCACTGTGGTGTGGACAGAGGCAGTGTCACTGCCTTGTCTCCTCCATATATCTGTATTTTATACATTAGGTGATTACTCTGGTCCAGTTTACCACAGTATTATCCTGAGAGGTCACATTGAAATATTTATATATAGTAACAGCCAAATTATCTCCTGAAGTACTTTTTGCCCATCCCTGCATTATTTCCAGATGTGTTTCCTCACGTTTTCTGATATTGAAAATGCAATTTATTGGATTAGAATGATTTAATTGGGTATATCAGATGATTTTGTAACCAATCAGCCCTGTGAATTATCCACTCATCTGCTAAGCTACAGATTTTACTAGTAAAGATCTTGCCTCATCTAGGCAATTGATATAGATACGAAATCGGATCGGAGCAAGAACTCATCTCCAGAATACTCTGGGTCCCAGATGTCTCCTCTTTACAACCAGTTTTTGAGAGAGCTCTCATGGAAAAGATATTTAATCCATCTAAGGTGTGTTTTCTGCACTCCAAACAGCATGCATTCCAGCACATAAAGAACAAGGTTTAAACAAATGTCAGGACTATTTCTCTTTTAGTTTTTGAGATTTACTCAGGGCAATTCTACAAGGTTTTTACTAAGCTTCTGCTTGTTTTTCAGCTTTCTCCAAGAGAGGTTCTGCCCTGACAGCCAGTACTACTCTCTTCATTAAGATAAAGTGGACACAGACTCCCAGCCTGCTTGGGATGAGAGTATTCAAGTTTGACAAACAATGGGAGCCATACACAGATCCCCTAGAACAGGGTCTAAAAGGGACAACAATAACCAAGCTGTTTTAGGCAGAACAAAAAGTAGACACAAGAATAGAAGGAAGAGTCTGAATGGCCACCAAATCCAATATGCACAAGTCCTTTCAGCAGACTGTTTTTGTGAAACCTCTTAAATGGCTTTTTAAATTACTCTGAGGTTATTCTAACTTCCCATATGTATTAAAAATAACAAAAACAATCATTAAAAACCACCATTAAGCTTAAAGCTTATGGACAGTTTTTCTTCCCATGGGCATTACTGCTACTGAAAACATGCAGGTTTATCATCTGAAGATTTTTAATGGGTATCAAGCATAGAAGGTAAATAATCTTTGTTCACAGTGATGAGTCTATACTTGGAGCCTGAAACAGTGACAGAAAGAACAGTACATTGCAATTAATGTGCATGCATTTTACCAGTTTCAATGTAATGGAGATTTGTATAATTTGTCTACTCATTCATCAGATAACTTTTAAATAACAACTCTGTGCCTGAGAGCATAAATACATTTTAGGTTTATATGTATCAAGGTAATAACTGCAATCTATTATTGTATTTCAGAAGCAATAGTACAAAGAATGATGATCATATACTCACCCAGTAATTTTCATCAGCAGATCTCAGCAGACCTTGTGAAGGTCAATGTGATCATCCCACTGATGATGATGGAGAAAGCAAGCGTTGAGATGAACTTGCTCAATGTCATGTGCCAGAGCAGTGGTAAAGCTGACACTTCGACTTCAGCTTTTCTGCAATCCAGGATGAAAGGTTTTGCCTCACAAACCA